CAAGACACTTGCATGTGGAAAAAACGAACAGCTCACACATCCATCAGGGATGGATAAATAAAATGGTGAAGTGTTTTAAAAATGTAAGCCTCCACGCTATATTTTGGTCCCACTCTCTATGGCTGTGCCAACCCGAAAGCCCCCATCGTGTCTGATCTCGGAAGCTAAGCGAGGCTGGGCCAGGTTAGTCCTTGGGTGGAAGACATCCACGCTGTATTTTGATTGTACTGCGTATGCCCAGGTTCCAGGGATTAGGCTTAGATGCCTTTGAAAAGCTGTTATTCTTTTCAAAGATAACTGATAACCAACCAGTTATCTTTGCATTTGTTACTGGAGAAACTCAGATGTGGGTCCCTCACGACCAGTGGGCTCTGTAACCTCTGGGCTCAGTCGCAGTGTCGTGCCTAGTGTCATGCCTAGTGCCCTGCATGGATGCTGTGTGTCTGTCCTCTGCCTTTCTCTGAGTGCCTACCACAACAGTCCAGGCGATGGAGAACCCATGCTCCTTCCTGTTGCTGTTTCTGCTTAGCACATCCTTGTCCCAGGCCTCAAGTCCACTGAGGTCCCAGTGGGGCCGTCATCTCCAATACCCGTGTACTGGAGCTCAGTGGGGACGGGAGCTACAGGTGTAGCACAGCCCAGGGTCCTCCGGCTCCAGGAAGCTTCGTGCGGTCAGATGCAGGTTACAGATAATAGAAGGGCTTATTAAGGGAATTCACTCCTGCGCCTTTAGAGGCTGAGAGAACCCAGCACATACCACTGGCAAGGCGACGACTCTGGGCACCTGGGAATGCGGCCCAGTCCAAAGGTAAAGGCCCCAGGCTCCCAGAAGCTGCCAGTGTAAGTCCTGAGGTCCCAGGGCCAGAGTCTGGAGTTTTGATGACCAAGGTCAAGAGAGGAAGAACGTGTCACAGGCACAGCAGTAAGAGAGAGGAGCACACCCGCTGCGCCTGCCCTCTGCACTCCTTTCCTGTCTTCTCCATCCGGGGCCCATGGGTGGAAGGGTTCCACCCACACGGAGGACGGGCCGTCCCTGATCGCTGGCGCATGCGTGGTCCTGCCCGTGCAGCTGGTGCTCTGCACCGGTGGCACCTGCTGCCTGTGATGGTCACTGCTGCCTGAGTGTACATGGGACTCTCCAAGTGCCTTCCTGCCTGTCTCCTCTCCAGGTGCCCTGACTGGGTACCCACAGCTGTGTCCTGTCTGCACGCTGGCTCGCTGTCCTGGGTAGAGGTCACTTGCTGTGTTTTACTTGTGAGTTTGTCTTTAGTTGCATGCTGTCCCCAAGCACTGTGACTGGCTCCGAGTACTTAACACCTAGCACTGATCTGAGCACTGACGCTGCTAAGTCCCATCAGTTCGCACAGTGGCGCTGGGAGGTGTGTAAGGCACAGAAGGGCTAAGTGACCTGTGCACAGGGCACAGCTGATAGGTGAGTGGCAGAAACCAGCTCTGAATCCAGGGAGTGGACAGGGAGCCGCTAAAATCGCATCCCCAGTGTGTCCTGTGATCTGGGCCTCCAGTATTGTGCGCCGAATGCATTGCGGCATCGTGGTCCCCAGCCCCAGGAGTGTGGGAGCCCGCTTGCCAGCTGCTCTGGCTGTGGCCACCTGAACCTTGTGGGAGAAGCCGGCACAGCCATCTGTGGTGTCCTTGTCCTCACGTCCAGGCTTTCCTGCTGCTCTATGTGCCTTCCTTGTTATTTTCTGAGACAGGGTCTAGCCCAGGCTAGCTTCAAGCTCCTGGCGATTGTCCTGCCTCAGCCTCCCGAGGGCTGGGATGACGGGTGTACACCACCACGCCCGCTGCGCCTGCCCTCTGCACGCATGCTCACTGCGGCGTTCACTTTCACGCGCGCCTTTCCTAGGGGGCCTCTCCTCCCTACCCTAGTCTCAGCACTGGGCTCCGGATGTTCACCACCCCCAGTGACAGCTGTGCCCCGTGGCCTTGTGGGTGCCAACCGTGAGGCCCGATGGCTGAGGCTCGTTGCCCCAGCTGCTCACAGCCGCCCTGCGTCTTGGCCAGCGCAGCCAGGTGTGTTTTATTGGCTCTATAGACACAGCTCCATTTTCCACTCGACTCAGTAGCTGTCTCCCGGGAACCGATCCCCAGCTTTCTCTGTGCCATATTCCTGACACCCCACTTTCCCAGACAGGCGTTTCTGAAACAGGGCTCAGGTCAAAGCCTGAATTCAGTTCTGCACAAAAGCTTGGGCCCCAGGAGGTCCCAAGAGTTGCGTGGGGGCCACAGAGAAGGGCTGGTTTCACTGGCAAAATTGAATTCCTCCCCTCTGGCTCTGTGGCAGCTGACTTGGTTAGAAAGTCTGTGCCAAGCCACCCCATCTGGTTTACCACAGGGGTGACAAGTGGCTGTCCATCCCAGGGCTGGTGGCTGGCCAGGCTGCAGGGGACAGTGGGCATTGAGGGAAGCAGAGAAGCACACCACACTGACCCTGCTGGGCAGGGCGGTCGGCCACGCAGCCTGTGTCCCAGCCCAGGCACATCTCCAGTCTGGATGTCACAGACAACTGGAAATCAGGAAGTGAATCCCAGGAAAAAATGTGGGCTGACAAGGAACTGGGCTCCTCCCTGGGTGGTGTCACTGCCTCTCAGTGACTGGTGGGAGGTCAGCCAGCTCCTCCTTGTCGGTGTGCACTGAGGACACCTTGTTCATCTTGGCGAAGGTCTGGTTGATCTCGACGAAGGTCCTGTTCTTGGTCTCTGGGATGACCATGGCGATGTAGATGGTGGTAAGGAGGCAGATCACCGCGAAGAGGATGAAGCTGTAGGGCCCGAGGCCCTCCTGTGGGGCGGAAGCGGCTGGTGAGCCTGGCCGACCATCCACCCAGGGACAGCATCAAGTGCTGGCAGCTGAGCCCCGCTCACCTGGATGAACGGGAAGATGAGGCCCACGGTGAAGTTGGACAGCCAGTGCACACTGCCCCCAACCATGAAGGCGGCTGCCCGCGAGGACTGTAGGAAGATCTCCGTGATGAGCAGCGCTGGGATGGGACCTGGCGGGGAAGGTGGAGAGGCTGGTGGCTCCCTGGGGCGGCCAGGTCAGGCCCTCGGGCTGACCTGTACCTCAGGGGCTGGCAAAAGGGCAGTGGCAGTTCTTGGGGGCACCTGGGGTGGGGCATCTGTCTAGCACAGTGGCCGACGTCCTGTCACCCTGCCCATCACTCAGCTGGCAGGCTCCGGTCTACTTGGCAGATTTCCCATTTGCACTAATTACGCCCCCTGCCTGGCCTCGGTTAGCACAAGAGGGAGAGGGGCAAAGCCCCTGCAAGGATGCGTGTCCCTTCCCCAGTGTCGATGAGGGCCACCAGAACCCCGAAGCCAGCTCCCGTCACGTACTGGGCCCGATGGCGTGTCCTATGACGTAGATGATAACACAGGCGATGCTGATATAGGGCATCCAGGAGAGCTGGTCCTGTGGGGTGGAGGTGGGGGGAAGCAGCTGTTAGCACCTGGCAGAGACAGACAAGGTGGAAAGCCAGGGTGATGGCACAGGCCTGGGACCCCAGCATGTTGGAGGCTGAGGCAGCAGGAGCACCATGAGTTTGAGGCCAGCCTGAACTACATCATGAGATGCTCCCTCAAAAAAAAAAAAAAAAAAGCGAAAAACAGCAGCAGTAGTGGAGACCTCAGGAGCCTTGGTCCCCAGAGGGCCAGGTGCTGTGCCAGGAGCAGGGCCTGTCACCTGTCCCCAACCCCCAGGGAGGCAGCTGAGAGGAGGCTGAGGACTGCTGGGTAGGAGGGGATAGAGCAAGGGTCCCCATTATTGGAGAGGCTGTATCTCCTAAGCCAGGTTTGTGTGCCCTCTCCTTTCCCCACACAAGGGAACCTGGGTCCTATCACAGGTAGGGCCACCGGCTCCTGCCGCTCCTTACCTGCAGTGCCAGGGCCACCGTGAGCACCACACAGGCTGAGAGGCAGGTGGAGAAGCCAAGCAGCAGCAGCAGGCGACGGCCCCAGAGCTCCACCACGAACACCTGGGCATGAGGAGGAGGAGGAAGAAGGCGGGCGGGGACTGAGTGAGGCTCAGGAGCCAGTGTCAGGGCCGCGGGGCCACAGTGCCTGGCCTGCATCAAGGCAGCCCCCCACCCTCTGAGGGTCCTGGGGCCACGTGCCTGCCCACGCTGTGCATGCAAATGCACGCTCATTGCACACCCATTGCACACTCATTGCCCAAACCGCACAGTGCTCCGGGGCTCCAGCTGCCTGCTCATCAATGAAATGAGGGCTCTCTAATCCCATAGCCCTAATCCTAAGGATTCCCACAGCACAGATACCAAGGTCTAGGCAGGGACCCCAGGACTCCCACACCCAGGACCCCTTGACTCCTGGCCTTCTCTGGGGGATCATGGGTGCTCCCCATCACACGTAGGGCCAGGAAGCTGGGGCGTGAGGGTTCTCGAGAGGGTTGCCACCTCAGATGTTGGGCCTGGCTAGGCGGGGCACTCACGGTACAGATGGTCATGAACACGTTGACGGCACCTGTGCCGGCCGTCACGTACTGGACATCGTTGGCCTTGACCCCAGCGCTCAGGTAGATCTGGTCTGCATAGTAGTAGATCTGGAAAGCAATCACCAGGGCTGGCGGAGGGCTCGGGGACAGACAGGGGACGGTCCCCCATGCAGGGACACTGAGGGCTGCCCCATACCGCGTTCACTCCTGACAGCTGCTGGCCGCCCATGAGGACCACGATGGAGATGAGCTGCCAGCGCAGGGACCGCAGGGTGAACAGCCTCCACACGGAGATGGAGCCGGCCGCCTTCTCGGCCTGGTCCTCCTGCCGGATCTCCTCTATGTCCTCAGCCACGTCATCCCAGCCACGCAGCCTCCTCAGCGCTGGGAGGGACACATGAGTGAGTGGAGGGCATCACCCAGGGCTGCAGGGAAGCCAGGACCCCGGGCCGCCCTCCCTCCCCAGGCCAGTGGCACCTTTCTTGGCAGCATCCTCATCCCGCTTCTGAATCAGCAGGTACCTCGGGCTCTCGGGAAAGAAGGGCAGCAGGAGCAACTGCAGCGCTGCGGGGACCCCAGTCAGTCCCAGGAGGATGGGCCAGCCTGCAAGCAAGGGGAGTCACAGTGCTCACTGCCAGCCTGGCCCGGGGACACAGGCTCTGGGAGGGCCAAGACAGCCCTCAGCGGGTAGTTAGCTAAGGGGTGACAGACCAAGGACACCTACTGACTGGCAAAAGAAATTCTCCTTCTGTCACCCAGGGACCTCCGAGGAGAGCTGGCAGGAGCAGCAAGCCGGCATACACCGATGGACACGGTTGTCCTACCCCAAGTGCATGCTCAGAGAAATTTGTGCCTGGCCATGAGGACGGCTGAGATGGAAACCGTCAGAATGTCCCCAATGTCCTGTATGAAGTGGACACACCAGCGGTGGCGTGTGCAGGAAGTTGAACTCCACACTGCGATGACAGCGAAGCCAGCAGCCACGCTGACAGATGTGTCCCCTCCCCCCATCTCTGCTGGGTGAGGATCAGGAAATCATTCTATTAACCACATCACTAATGGGGAAACTGAGGCAAAAACAAGGACAGGGTGGCTATGAATGTCACACAGTGCTGTCTCAGGGTGGGGAGGGCGCAGTTGAAGGCGCACGGCAGGCCTTGGGGTGGAGATGGCTTTCTGGTCCGGGGCTTGGTCACATGGGGGTGGTTTCTATTTCTCTTTTTGTGCCTTTCTCCTTTACTTCTGTTTTTCTGTCCCCCGTTTGTCTCTACTATGGAACATACAGGCCGTGGTTCACAATGCGAATGGTACCCTCCACGAGGAGGCAGTTAGGAGGTTAGCAGTTAGCATTCTTCTCAGAATGGCAGTGCCCACATCACCTGCTCTTTGTCCTGGGCCTCCAGCAGGTGGCCCTCATGGCATCTGTGTGCCGGCCACTGCCCTGGCTGCCCATCAGTAATCCACTCTCTTCCCGGCATCTTTCCCTCGAGGCACTGAGCGAGCTCGGGATGGTTCAACCAGGGAGCCTCCGGGCTGAGTGGGATTCGGTCCCTCACCCCAGACCACTCAGTCATTTGGGAGCAAAGCTGAGATTCAGGCCCAGACACGTTGGGCTAAATGCTCCTGACCATGTGGCCCACGGCAGCCGCCCTGTCCTGAGCACCGAAGACGCTTCTGATCTCCGACAGCAGATCCCACCTACTGAGATGCAAGAGAAATGGTCTGGAATGCCCCCACGTAGACTCTGCGATGCTTTAAATCTAGAATTCCCCAAAGCCTCATGCGCTGGGGCTTCGAGGACGTGGCCGGGGTCCGGGCTTTAGCCAGCTCGCTGTTAGGAGGTGATTGATCTCCTCCCCGCCTTCTGCCCTCACTCTGTCTCTCCCCCACCAGCTATCACCTCCTCTGCCAAAGCCCAGGTCAGCACTGTCCTCTGTGTGTCTGTCACAAGAGTGCCGCTGTCTCTGCGTCCCATGCCCGAGGCAGCTGGGACCCTCAGGGTGTGGTCAGCGCCAGGCCCACACACTGCTAAGGTGACCTTGGACTTGGTGCTCAGCTTCTATCCCAGGAGTGAAGGCGCTGCTAGAGGCTGGCGAAAAGCACCTTAGTGGTTCTGAACGGGGAATGCCGGTGTCCCTTTCAGGGTTTGAGGCTCAAAACCGAGAGGGCAGGTGGTGCAGAAACCGTGCCAGTCACAGGTCCTGGGGCCCCTGCCAGGCGCTGTCCAGGCTCTGCTGCAGAGGTGGACATGGAGTCGGGGCCCTTAAGGTACTCAGCAAGTCCCTGCAGTCGCACGTTCTGCTCTGTGAGATAGGGCTGTCACAGAGCCCTGGACGGCAGGCAGCTGGGGAGCCCCAGCCCAGTGCTGTGCACAGGGGTCCCTGGAGAACAGATACCGAGCGGCCCGAGAGAAAGCTGGCCCTGCCTGTCCCACCCGAGCCTATCTGTTACCACACCCTCACTCAGGGCCTGCCAAACAGCACCCAGTGCTGTGGCTTGGGCAACAGTGGGGACCCTGTGGCAGCCAGGCCACCACAGAGAAAAGACCAGCTGTGGCAGAGCGGAGAGAGCTGGGTGCCACCTGTGGCCCACTCACCCTCGTCATTCGCCAGGGCGTTCCGCAGGCCGAGCAGCTGGGCCACCAGGATGCCGATAGTGATGAAGAGCTGGGGGACCACCCCGAGGGCTCCCCGCAGATGCTTGGGGGCCAGCTCCCCTAAGTACATGGGGACCACGTTGGAAGACACACCTGGGAGGGGACACCATGAGCAAAGGTCAGCATGGGGGAGTCCTCGGAGATTCACGTGGCAACCACCGTATCTGAGTCAGAGCTTCCTCCAAGAATCAGTGGAGAAAGAAAATGCCTTTTTAATTTTTTGAGACAGGGCCTTGTTGTGTAGTTCAGTTTGCCTTCAACTCGCTGTATAGTCCAGGCTGACCTCAATCTCTTGGCAATCCTCCTGCCTCAGCCTCCTCAGTGCTAGGATATGAGGCATGTGCTACTTTTATGTCCTTATTATTATTATTTTTTAACTTTTATTTGTCTTTTTGGGACAGGGTCTTGCTATGCAGTTCAGGCTGGCCTTGAGCTACAACAATTCTCCTGCCTCAGCCTCCCAAACGCTGGGATTACAGGCATGTGCCACCACACCTAGCTAATTAATTCTTAGCCTCTTAGACTTTAAGAAGAGAGAAGTCATATCAGGCAAGCTTCCGACTGGGAGCTGTTGCTCCTCCCTGGGGTCACCTGGGGCACAGTCCCCACCAGACCTCTGAGTTCGGGTCCAAGAAAGGCCACTACTTTTGTGACTGGATGCCCTTGTGCTTGGGAGTGAGTATTCCCTTGATTCATGGTGCCAGAGACCGCAGTCCCGAGCTGCAGTTATTGATTTACATTAACAATCGTCCCGGGGCTGGGGAGATAGCTCAGGGGCATAAGTGCCTGCCTAGCAAGCACAAGGTCCCAAGTTCAATCCCTGGTACCCTAAAACAAACAAACAAACAAAAACAATCACCCCAGCAGGGCAGAGGCTTTGGATCATCTGCATTCTGCATGGTGCCTGCTCTGCCACCGAGTCCCCTCTCCTGGGACGCTGGAAGCTCCCCACTCAGAACAGTGAGGTCTAACGACAGACTCAGGAGAGCGCTTGGCAGCACAGCTCACCCCAGACCCAGGCTGGCCTCGAACTCTGCCCCTCAGCAGCTGCACACAAAGGAATCTGCCAGCCGGGACTCATGGGAGACCTCTGTGGGCTTCCCATCGTCCCTTGAGGGTTGCAAGGTTGCTGTGGTTACCGGCCATCAGCAAGCACAGGGCTGGCAGCAGGATCCATCCTTGCAGTAGCTTGCTTCTCAGCATGATGACCACAGCCCATAGGAAAAACTGCATCACAGAAATAGAGTCTAGGGCTGGGGAGATGGCTCAGTAGAGTAAGCGCTTGCCTGGCAAGCACAGGGTCCTGAGTTCAATCCCCGGTACAGCAAAAAAACAAGCGTTCTTTGAATAAAACTCTCAAAAAAAAAAAAAAAAAAAAAAAAAAAAAAAAAGGCAAAAGAAAAGAAAAAAGAAAGAAAGAAATAGAGTCTACACCAAAGCCTGGTTGTCCTGAACTTACTCCGAGAAATAGCAGAAACAAATATTTCAAGAGAAGATCTTATCACCAGCCACTGATGTCCTGACTTACACTTCAGAAACTACTGATCCTTGGGGCCGGGGAGATGGCTCAGTGGAATAAGTGCTTCCCTGGCAAGCGCAAGGGCCTGAATTCAATCCCCGGTTCCGCAAAAAAAAAAAAAAAAAAGAAAAAGAAACTACTGATCCTGAGATAAAGGACTGGCTCAGACCCTTCTGTACTCCACTTTCTGGATCTGAATCTTTGAAAGAACAGCTTCTTGGCTGGGGGTGGTGGGCACGACTGTAACCTCAGCACCTGGGAGGCTGAGGCCAGCTTGGGCTGTATAGTGATTCGAAGGCCAGCCTGAACTGCATAGTAAGACCTTGTCTCAAAAAACCAGCACACGAACATCAATACCTTTCTTGGGCTGGGGGGTAGCTCCTAAGCGTGTGCGGGACCACAGAGAAGGCGCCCACTCCCTACCTGTGGGGACCCCACAGGGGCTCAGGTGCCTAGGGAAGAGGTGCAGGAGGGAACCTGGGCTCACTGGCCCCTGGGAGCTGGTCCTCCCGCCTCCTCGAGGGTCCCGAGTAACCAAACAGCAAGGCCGTGTGGGGTCATCTCTACCTGCACAGATGCCCACCAGAAGTCTGGAAACTATGATGAGCTCATAGGACTTGGCAACCTTGCTGCACCCCATTAAGATCGCAGGCACAATGGAAAATATGTTGTTGAACAGCAGGGCGCCTTTCCTGCGGAGGAAAGAAAGGTCAGTTGGTTTGGCTTAAGGATTCATTCATTCATTTGTTCATTCATTCACTCACTCAACAAATGCTCTGTGGTGTCTACACTGTGGTTCCACCCAAGTGACAGCTTTCTGGGCCCAGGAACCGGGTAGAGGCCAAGGGCACAGCCCAAGCAGAAGGTCCTCAGCACAGGGAAGCACCATGCAGGGGCGTCAGGGTGATGACAGGGAAAGGCCCCTTATGAAAATACAGCAAAGGGTTTCTAAAATCATCTGTGAACTCAGTGTAACCTTGAACCCCGTGCCGGTGAGGATATTAGAAGAAAAGTACAGGCTGCCCTCCCTATTGTCAGCGCAGCTTCAAAACTCCTGAGTGAAATAGCAGTGGATTGAACTGAACATGGCATAGACAATTGTTAGTATACTCATCATACAAAAGTTTATTTTGGGGGCCAGGGAGATGGCTCAGTGGAATAAGCGCTTCCCTGGCAAGCGCAAGGGCCTGAGTTCAATCCCCTGTTCTTCCAAAAAAACAAAACAAAAGCAAAAATAAAATCCAGCCCACTCCACAGTGGCCAGCGTGGTGCTTGCCTACGTCCCATCACATGGGAGACTAGGTGGCTGTTACCCTCTTTTTTTTTTTTTTTTCTGTTACCCTCTTGTCATGATAAGGTTTAGGCCTGTGCTCAAAAATTTACTGATGCTGGAGCTGGGTCAGTGGTACACATTGTCATCAGGAGGCTGAGGCGGGAGGATCGCAAGTTTGAGGCCAGCCTGAGTAATGTAGCAAGACTGTCTCAAAATAAACATTAGAAAATACGTAAGTAGGGCCGGCCAAATAGCTCAGTGGATTAAAACACCTGCAAGCAGGTACAGGGGCTGGGTGTCCGATCCACTGGCCTGCTGTTCCGGCCCAGCCCCCGGGGGATGGCAATTGAGACTGCGTGTGGTGGCACGCGCCTATAATCCCAGCTCTTGGGAGGTTGTAAACAGGAGGATTACTACCAGCCTGATCTAGTAGTGAGACTGTGAACACCCTGTAGACTCTTCCCTAAAGTACAAGATAAATAAATAAATAAAATACGTAAGTGGAAAGGGCTGGGAATGTAGCTCAGGGGTTGAGCAATTGCCTAGCATGTGTGAGGTCCTGGGTTCATTCCCTAGGACTGGGAAACAAACAAACCAACAAAAAACCTCAGAAAACAAGAGTTGAAACTCCCCTCCCTTACCTGCCAAGTTTATTCACCAAGGGCCCGACCAGGAGGGACCCGAGGAAGCCCCCAAATGGGAACATGGACACAGTCAGAGACCACAGCAGCGTGACGTGGACGGGCGTCATGTACTCCCCAGTGCGGTTGTAGTAGGTTTCATTGTAAAACTGCTTCATGAACTGCGGATAAGAACACGGGCTGGAGTCACCCCCTTTGGCTTTGCATAAAGAACGGTGGAAGTCAGTTGAATGCCAGGGGTGTGTGTGTGTGTGTGTGTGTGTGTGTGTGTGTGTGTGTGTGTGTTTCCTGGTGACGTCAGGAAGAGGGAAGGGGCTGGGACACAGGGCCGGGCGCACTGGGCTCTGGGATGCCGCCGCCCTCACCACAGTGACAGCTACGTGATGGGGCCTCCTCGAGAGTAGCAGGGCTAGATGTTGTGTGTCTCCCCCAGAAGTAAAGGCTGGGGACCTGGGTACCCCTCCTGTGCCTGTGTCCCCGCAGATCTGTGCCATGTACCCTCAGGGGCCCCCATCTGCTCCCCAAGCCAGACCTACCTCAGAGGGCGAGTTGACTGCGGACACATTGTACCCATACTGGAAGGATGAGCCGAAGGCGGCGATCAGTGTGGCCAAGGCCAGCACCAGCGTCAGCCTCTGCAGGAGAGGGGCACAGGTTGGGGGCAGCAGGGTGCCGGGCCGCAGGCTCAGCCCCATGGGGAGCAGCGATGCCCTGGAATCTGAGCTCTGTGGGTGCCCAGCCCCCTTACCCTGAGCAGCTCCTGGGATCTTTGGGCTCTGGTAACCCTCTGTCCAGGGCCTGGCCTGTGCTCATGGGTGCGGACAGCACCCTGGGTCTCTACTCTTCAGATGCCACACCCTCTTCCCAACTGTGACTGTCCTGAGGTCTCCAGGCCACTGGATGGGGTGTGGCCAGAAAGAAACCAAGTCCAGCACCCCATCGAGCATACGGTCATGGGCTATGCTGCCATCCCTGCCCTGGGACATGTCCATGCTCAGGCTTTGTCTGAGACAAACTCTGAAAATCCAAGAGAAAGAAGGAAACTTTCACACCAGGAACTCGGCAGGGCAGGAGGGTGCAGAGCTGGAGGCCAGCTTGGCTGCCCAGCAAGCTCAAGTCTGGCCTGGACTGGGCTTTGAGACTGGGTCTCCAACGATGAGAAATAAAAAGAGAAAAAAAGATGGAGCCAGAGAGACAGCTAAGTGGTGTAAGGGGCACAACGGCATTTGCCTGTGACCTCAGCAGTCTAATGACTGAGGCAGGATCATCCAAAGTTTGAGGCCTACAGGGCTGGGGAGACAGCTCAGCAAATAAGTGCTTGCCTGGCAAGTGCAGGGACCTGAGTTCAATCCCCGGTACAAAAACCCCACAAAAAACAGAAATCAAAGTTTGAGGCCAGCTGGGCAATTTGGGGCCCATAGGCCCAATGTGAGAAGCCAGGGTTCACAGCCAATACCACAAAAATGGAAGGAAGAAAGGAGGGAGGGAGGAAGGAAAAGGAAGAGCAAAAAGAAACCAGGTAGAGGTCAAGCCTTCTCATCTGACTGAGACGTTCTTGCTTCACCCAGTGGGCAGACCAGTGGCTAACTGGCTGCTCTTTATCAAACTGACGAGGGGGCTCATCCAGCCAGAAGTCCTCTCTGGTAAGGCTGCGGGGGTGGGAGCACCCCATGGAGAAACCTCCAACAGCCTCACACCCCTGGGGGCCGCTGGGGGCAGGTGACAGCGCATGGGGAAGGTCTGGTCTTGGCACTTCTATGCACCCACTTGCGTAGGGACACGTGGCTCAGCACCTCCCATCAGGCTGGCTCTGCGTGTGCATTCATTCACTTATTCATTCACTTATTCATTCACTTATTCACTCACTTATTCACTCATCCATTCATTCAGTCACTCACTCACTCATCCATTCATTCACTCAGTCACTCGCTCATCCATTCATTCATTCAGTCACTCACTCATCCATCCATTCATTCATTCATTCATTCATTCATTCAGTCACTCGCTCATCCATTCATTCATTCATTCATTCAGTCACTCGCTCATCCATTCATTCATTCATTAGTCACTCGCTCATCCATTCACTCATTCACTCAGTCAGCCAGCACAGTGAGCCCCACGTGTTTAAGTGCCAAGGATGTGGTGCTCTTGCTTTGCTCTGTTGGGAAAGAGGGGAAGGGAGAGAGGGATCCAGATCCCTCTCAAATTACCTTCCTGGGAAGATGGCAGCAACCAAAGCTGCCACTTCCTTCCCCCAGCAGGGCACCTCCTGGGCACCAGGGGTGGTGACCAACGTCCTCACGTTTGAAGTCAGCAGTGCAGTCCCAGGCACTGCTCCCTGGGAGCTGCTTGGTCTCAGGGCTGCTGTGCTCCCCGCTCTCAGGAGGCTGAGACAGGAGGATCACTGTGGGTCTGAAGCCCACCTGGGCTATATAGTGGGATTAAAGCCAGCCTGAGTGACACAGGCAAGACCTGCATGGTTTGGGGACTCAGTAGAGTAAAGCAAAGGGCTTGGCATCCACAAGGGGAGCAGGGCTGCTTCCTTCCCATGCAGGGCCATTGACGGCCAAGCACGTTATCAGCTTTCAGGAAAAGCAAAGGGCGGGCCAGGCTGGAAAGGTCTGCAGCCCTCTCCCAAGTGAGACACAGAGAGGGACAACCGTGGGACCAAAAATTCTGCTCCCAGGTGGGAACCCAAGAGCAAGCTGTGTGTCCGTGCAAACCCAAACCCAGTCTTTATAGCAGCACCAAGGTCCTCAGGTGGGAGCCAGCCAGGTGGCCACCAACTGATACAGGGACAAAGATGACACAGTGTGTGCCCACAATGGCCATAGAAAGAAATGAAGGACCTCAAGGTTGGTGACGCACGCCTGTGGGCTCACACCCTGGGAGGCTGAGGCAGGACGACTTCGTGTTGCTCTGGGTTCAATCCCCAGGACCACATAGGAAAAAAAGAACAAAGGATGAAAAGAAAAGAAAAGTATGAAGGGCTGGCACACACTAGTGGTACGAAGTGGATGACACTTGAGAACACAGCTCTGAGGAAGTGGCCATAGGCCAGCTGCTGTGTGGCTATACTTGTGTGTCACATCCAGGACAGCCGAGGCCCCGGGGATACCCTCCTGGGTGCTGGGAGGGCAGGCGTGCCCACTCCGCCCATGTTAGGTTATTTTCCGTTTGCAATGGGTTTGTCAGGATACAGCCTCACCCTAAGCTGAGATGCATCCGTCCTGAAGGTGTGCAACCAGTGTTGCTGCACACTCACACACAGCCTGCGCGTGTAATCACCGCAGGGGATCTACTCTCCCAGCAGGAAATGTCAAGAGCTGGAGGCGGCGTCATTAACCACAGCCGGGCGCCCCACACAGGACAGAAGGCCTGCGCCCCACACAGGTCGGAAGGCCTGCCCAGCCACAGGCGGAAACTTTGCACTCCGCAGGACGCGCTCTCTCCCCGGGGCCTGGCAACGGCTGCTCTGTTCTGCTTCTGTGAGTTTGGCTTTTTTTAGATTCCACAAACCAGCGAGATTATGCAATGGGACTTTTGTTGTTGTTGTTGAGACAGGGTCTCGGTGTGTAGCTCAGGCTGGCCTTGAACTCGCCACGGAGCCCAGGCTGTGGGAGCTTTCAGCGGTCCTGCTGCCTCAGCCTCCGGCCTGCCGGGATGATGGGCATGCTAGGAGGTACCAGGGAAGTCACTCGCTTTGGAACACTAAACCAGCTGTGGGGGACACTCCACAAAATACAGCTTCTCACTTTCTAACCCACCTTGTGAGGGTTGGGGATATAGCTCAGCCACACAGCGCCTGCCTGGCAAGGATAAGGTCCCAGTACCAAAAAAGAAATGAAAGTAAATAAAGCACTTTAGCGGGGGGCGATAGGGGGAGAAGGGACAGTTCAACAATCTGAAATCGCTGTAAAATGCTTTGCTGTAGCTTTTCTTCTTCCTCTGTTTCATTGTTTCCCCAGGTCCAAGTCAGCTGGCAGGTCCCAGCCCCTTCTCTTTACATTCGGACATCCAAAGGCCAGGGAGAGGAAGGCCACGGGGGCCACAGCTCTGAGGGACAGAGAGCTGGCATCCCCACCCCCACTCTGTGAGATCCCAGCTCAGCAGCATACTGGCCCCGGGCCATGGAGTCAAGAGGTGTGCTGTGCCCACCCAGCCTCTGCCCGGGGCCACTGGAGTCCTTGCTACCCTCCCCCCACAGGTGCTGCCCTCTTCTGTCCCTCAGGCCCAGAGCTGACCAGGACCTCCTTGACCCCAAGTCTCTAAGTCTTTCCTATCAGACAGAGGTGGTAACATTTGATTTGTCCAATTCTTCCTTGGCTTGGCTTTTTGAGACAGGGTACCACTATATAGCCCAGGCTGACCTCGAACTCTCAGTGATCCTCCTGCCTCAGCCTCCCAAGTGCTGGGGTCACAGGCATGTACCACCATACCTGGAAGTATTATACTTTCTTGTGAAATCCAAACAAGAGGGGTTGGGGAGATAGCTCAGTAGAATAAGGGCTTGCCTGGCAAGTGCAAGGGCCTGAGTTCAGTCTCCGGTTCCACAAAAAAAAAAAAAAAGAAATCCAAACAAGATAATCCCTGTGAAGGTGCTTGGCAAACCCTAAACACAATGATTCGGAAGGCTGTGTGTTTTCTGCCATGTAGGGACATTATTAGCTTTTCATATAAGGAAAAAGGCACCAGTGGACCTGGTGGCTGGGGACTGGGGCTCCATTAAGAACCCTGTGACCCATGTGACACCTGTGCCACAGAGAATTACCCCTTGTGCCAAGGGGGCCACGCAGTCACTTAGTGGCGAGTGCAGCGTGTGCCACACACCACATGCATCACCATCTCTTTCAGTCATCCCAGCGCCCAGGAGGTGGAGGGCAATCGACTACTCCCATTCTACAGATGAGAAAGGAGAGGAGGTGCAGGAGAGTGAACAGCCGGGGCTTTTGCCTGGGCACCCTCTCTGAGTTCCCACGATGCTGAGTAGGTCTGGGTCCCCACAGCAAGCAGCCCACACCCGCGCCTGAATCCAAAATATGTCTTGCACAAATGTGTGCTCCAGGGGCCGAGGAGATAGCTCAGTAGAAAAAGCGCTTGCCTGGCAAGCGCAAGGTCCTGAGTTCAATCCCCGGTTCCACAAAAAACAAACCAACAAATAAATGTGTGCTCCATACAGGGCGAGGTGGTGCACATCTGTCATACCAGCACTCAGCAGCTGAGGCAGGAGGATCGCTGGGCATATGAGCCCAACCTGGGCCGCAGTAGTGAGTTCAAGACCAGCCTGGACTACATAGCAGGACCCTATCTTAAAAGCAAAAAAACCAAGAAAATGTGTACACCAAGCAGATGCTATTGTGCTGGGGGGAAAAAAACTAATTCCTTGAGTGTTAATACATTCATTTTTTTTTTTCATATGTTTTCTCTCTATGCCATCCAGGGTGGCCTCAGACTGTGGTCCCCGTGCCTCAGCCTCCCTAGATGCTGGCAAGGCAGTGCCCAACGCCCAGCCCCGCTGGTGGGCGTCTTTTCAACAGCTGTTCTGGGAGAATGATTCTCCAAGGCACCTGTCAGAAAGCTCAGCTCCAAGGCCCATCCTGTGACCGCGACCCGGTGGACCGGGGCCCGCGGGGTGGGACCGCGGGGGTCCTTCCCAGGAGGCCCTCAGGGCACTCACCCCTTTCTTCTTCTTCGGGTCTGCAGGCTGGTCCATCGCTGCTCTGCCTCTCTAAGCTGCGCACACTGTAGCGGCAGAAAGACAAGCGGTGCACTTTGGCCTCCGCCCGCGGCCAAGTGCATTTTTATAGCCAGCCCGAGTCTAAATAACCCCTTCGGCACCCGACGGCCTCCCTCTCACTTCTGCTTTTAAACCATGTGTCCGGCTGGCTGTCTGCAGTGTCCTCCTCGCGGCTGGTGACTGCCAGTGCATTTTAGGCAGGAGCATATGGACCGCAGCTGCTGTCCTGACCCCACAGGACCCCAAAGACTGGGGACCTGCCAGCGGGGCGCCTCCAATTCTCTGAAGTGCAGAGTCAGTTCTGCCCAAGTATAACCCCCTTTTCTGGTGGCGGGCATCAGACTCAGGACCTTGAGCATGCTAAGTCCCTGCTCTGACACTGAGCCACAGCCCCGGGCCCCTCAAGAGATTTTGGACTGAATTTCTTATTTTCGTTTACGATACTAAGGATTGAACTCCTGGCCTCTTCACTGGGCTACATCCCTGGCCCTATTCTTTTCTTTTTTTACTTTGAGATAGGGTATTGCTAAGTTGCTAAATTGCCGTGGCTGCCCTCAAATGGGGGAACCCTCCTGCCTCAGCGAACCAGATTGCTGAGATTACAGTTGGATGCCACCAATCCTGGCTGGCAGTTATTACTAATTTTTGTTCTTTTTTTTCTTCCATTTATTTATTTATTTTAGTCTTTTTGATTCAGGGGTCTCGCTATGCAGTTCAGACTGGCCTTGAGCTCACTTTGTAACCCAGGCTGGTCTTGAACTCACAATGATCCTCCTGTCTCAGCCTCCTGAGTGCTGCTGGGATTACAGGGGTGCTCCACCATGCCCAGCTAATTTTCTTATTAAAGTGCAACACTGAATATAGATTGATTTTGCCTCTTAACTTTGATCCTGCAACATTGCTAAATCCACCTATTGGTTCTAGAAGATTTTCTGTAGATTTCTTTGAATTTCCTACCCAGATTATATTGTGGGCCCAAAACAGATAGCCAAGTAGTTTCACTTCTCCCACTGAAAGCTGTGTGCATTTCGTTTGCTGAATACAATGAAATCCAGTCTTAGAAGGAGCTATCAGTCCTTTATCAGTTAACATGACAACACTGGGTGTTGAAAAATGTTCTTTATCAATGGAAAGTTCCATTCTGTTGTAAGTTTGCTGAGAATTTTTATCATGAATGGGTGTCACATTTTGTCAAAAGCTCTGGAGACAATAATGTTCTTTTTTAAAAATTTGTTAATATGGTGACTTTTTTTTTTTTTTTCTTCAGTACTGGGTATCAAACTCAGGACCCTGCCCTTGCCAGGCAAGCACTTATTCTACTGAGCTATCTGCCAGTCCCTAATATGATGACTTATATTCATTAGAGTTTCAAGTTTTAAACCAGTCTTTCATTCCTGAGATGAGCTCCACTATATTTTTTATTTATTTTTGGATTCTAGTTACTAAGTACCAGCTAAAATACCCTTTCGATCACAGGTCATTTTCCCTTATAAGGAGCCAGGGTGGCCTTGCTATAGGATTTTCTGTGCGTTCATCACTTTCGGGGAGCAGCAACTCCCTGCACCCCTTCACGCCAAGGGCAGGAAGGTTTCAGTCCCTGCTGGCGCCTGGGTCGTCTGCCCATGGCCAGGTCCCTGCCCACTCCCGTGCGGGACGCATGCTCGGCTGCTGCAGGCTATGCAGCCAAGTGGCCGCTTGGAGAGCAAAGTCCCCCTGCCCTGTTTTCTGTCTTCACGATGTGCGGCGGCTGCCGTGATTCGCCCTGGCACAGGGCCAGCACCCGAGGCCTTCATGCCGTTCACCTGACACAGCAGCTGCTGGGCGCCCACCCATGCCGGGCCCTGGCTGCCGGCTCAGGACAGGGTCAGGGACCCTCGAGCAGGGACTGTGCACGCTCCCGGGAGGTCTGGGCGTCCGCCCACCGGTGTCACTCACTGCCTGTCTTCTCCCCCACCTCCAGCCCTTACACAAAAGTCTCCGGGTAAGGTGTGGCAAGACCAGGAGTATCAGGTGACGTCAAGGCATTTGGAAAATTCTCCAGAGGGCAAGCACTCCCGCGGGGGCGGGGTCACCTACCAAGGTGACTTCGCCAACCAAGAGAGCTGTCAGAGATGACCTGAGGGCGCACGCCTGCGATCCCAGCACTCTGGGAAGCTGAGGCAGGAGAATCACAAGTCTAAGCCCAGCCTGGGCAACTCTCGAATTTAAGAACCTATTTGGAAATTAAAATTAACAATCTGAGCAGGCTTCCTGGCTCCCATTTCAGCCGTCCTGTATCTGCTTTCGTGAGCTGAGCCGCTCGGGCCTTGCCTCGACTTACTCAGCTGGGACCTGCAGAGCTGAGGTCCTGCCGCTGGCGTGCAGGGATTGCCCCCCAGTACCTGGTTCCTGTTGTCCGGAGCCGCGGGCACTAACGCCACCAACGCCCCCGGAGCGCGCACCCGAGGGAGGTGGGGGCGTGTTGCGGGGGGCGGGGCGGGGACTGCGTTCCCTGCAAAGTCCCCGCCCCCTCTGCTGGGCTCTGTGAGGGGCGACAGGTCCTTCTGCTTCTGATTCTGGGCCGGGTCGTGACCCATGGGTTCCCGGAGTCTCCAACCCTTCAGGCTCGGCCTTGCTGCTGGACAGCGACGCTGGCTCTGCCCCCTCCGGCCTCTTTCTGCTTTGGGGCTTAAAAGGACGCTATTGCTGGGCCTCTAGTTCCAGCACTTGGGAGGCTGAGGTAGGAGGATCACCTGAGCTTGAGGCCGGCCTGAGTTATACAGTGAGACTCTCAAAAAGAAAAGAAAAGAAAAGAAAAGAAAAGAAAAGAAAAGAAAAGAAAAGAAAAAAGAAAAGATGGGGTTGGGAGATGGCTCAGTGGTCTAAGTGCCTGCCTGGCAAGCGCAAGGACCCAAGTTCTATCCCCGGTACCACGTGCTGTGCTGGCCCTGGGGGTAAAGCTGGCCCTGGGAGCAAACCAGGCGTGGTGGTGCACACCTGTAATCCCAGCACTGGGGAAGCTGAAACAGGAGGATCGCTACAAGTCCGAGCTGCGAAGGAAACCCTGTACTAAATAAATAAATAAATAATTTTTAAAAAAGAAAGAGAAGAAAAGAAAAAGGTAAAAGATAAAGAGACACGGGCTGGGGATGTAGTTCAGTGGCATAAGCGCCTACCTGGCAAGTACAAGGCCCCTGAAACCTGGCACCGGAAAAAAAAGTTTCCGAGAAAACTACCTTGATAGGCACCCACAGTTGTGCTTAGAACCACCTCTGATAAGAGCCCATGGGTGGGTTTTAGAAGAGATATGTTTGGGGCCCTGCCTATGTGCTGGGTGCTGGGAGCTGGGTGCTGAGTGCTGGATCCTGGGTACCAGGTGGTCTCTCCTCCCTACTACAAAGAGGATTGGCTGTGGGAAGCTGCATCAGGAACTGGCAGAAGGGACCCTCAGAGGGCCAGGAAGGGCTGCGCAGCCTGGACTTGGACTTGAGATCCTCCTGCCTCAGCCTCCAGAGTCCTGGTGTGTGCCACTTTGCTGGCTGAGTGGAGGAGGATGGATGAGGACACAAGCGGCCACTGGGTGTGGGTTGCAATAGAAGTAAAAGGGTGGGAGAGATTTGGGGTGCCAAAATTGGCAAAATATAGTGATGGCCAGGGTGGGGGAGGGGAGGGAACATTTTTCTGTTACGATTGCAAGACATCAATGTCTTCTGTCATGGGAAATGTCGCTGTACAGATGGCACTGGCCCTGCTAGGTGCTAGGTGTTGCCCGCAAGCGGTGAGGTTGCTGGTGTGCAGCTGGAGCGGGGTGGCTCTCGGCACACTGCGCATGCGTGTGTGCCCACGTACTGGCCTGCTTGGGCACCTGGCCCTGCAGGGAGCTCTAGGAAGGGGGAGAACGGGGCCCAGATGGGACCCCGGGAGATGAGCCGGCTCAGGGCTGGCGGGGAACGGAAGACACCGGCTCGTTGTGATGCAGCCCGAGTCAGGCTCCCTGGTTTTGGTGCTGGTGGCTGAGCCCAGGGCCAGCACAGGTGAAGCACAGCACCGGCCTCAGGGACACTCAGGCCCTGCCCTGCAGATCATTGATCCAGTGACACAGCCGCAGCCTGGAGACGGAGACTTGAGGCGCAAGCTCCATGCTGCCCGTGCAGGTGTCCCTGGGGTTTTACCCAGGCTGCTGCTTCTTCCTCTTTTTGAGGTAACATCTGGTTATTCGGGGTGGCCTTGAATTCCGTGGAGTTCCTTCTACCTCAGCTGCCCGAGCACTGGAACTACAGGCCTGCGCCACCAAGCCTCAGCAAATTTTATCAGGGCGGCAGTGGCTTTTGTTTACATCACATTACAAAGCTGCCTGGGATTCACCAACGTGTCCCTCCTGGACACGGTCTTTCTCTGGTCACAGGGCAGGAGATCAGCTCCTTTAGGACATGTGGTTCCCATGCAAGCAGAAAGCCCTGCATGTGCCGGGCCATGGTAGCTGGCTCAGCTGGCAGGAAGGGCAGGGGGCAAGAGGCTGCAGGGCCACTTCCATTCTGGATTCGATAAGGGCTATCATTAACAAGGTCATGGGCAGGGCGTTGCCGGAGCCCTGCTTGGCACTCCTTGCCAGGGAGGGGCGGAGGCAGCCCCTCAGAAGTCCCAAGCCCACCAAAGGAACCTTCTCTGCCTGTGCCCGCCCACTCCTGCCAGGCGCCACCCTCCCCAGAGTGGCTGCGTGCACACAGGCAGCTGCCCCGTCTTCCTCTCAGTCCCGCTGCCATCCCAGGGCCTGGCTACGCTTCTGCCAGCTGTGCCTGAGACAGGGAGGCCCTGACCACACCGGGACACACCTGTGACCTCCAGGCCCGGAGCTCGTCATCTTATTTTCCCTTGCCAAGAGCAGAATTTGACCCTGCCTATCAGTGAGTCCAAGGGCACTGGGAGGGGACAAGGGTTCCTGGGGACCCACGGATGAAAAGCGTGGCCATCTGGACACACGAAGGCTCCTCAGTACCCAGCCAGCTCCTGCTGTTTATGCCTT